TTTTTGTTCAAGAGTCCAAGTAGATTTCGCAACAAAATTTAGAAACGTGGGTGGGAAAAATTCCAAAATATAAAAAGCTTCCATACATATGCTAATCAGATCTTGATCAATATTAAAAAGTGACTGCACATCCAGTTCCTTAAAACAGCGCTATAAAACAATGCACATGAGAGATAATACCTATATTTTTACACGAGAACCATCAATTGTGTATAACGGGTCAATTATAAATGGCACAACCGGATTAATTAAAATATGATCATTTTAACAGATTTTATAGACATATCTATATCATCGGAAAATTGTATATTAAAATTCACATACAGGCAGGAGTTCTTAAGAAAAGGGACACAGACGAACCTTTGTACAACATGACAGCTCACAATTCGTCGAATCGGGTAACGATGGCACTGGAATATACTGCATTTTAACGTTCTCATCTGTTATTAGCAAATCGTTATCCACCCGTCTTGACTTAGATGAATTTGGAGGTACGCATACATTATCTTTTTGATTAATGGTCTCTTCTGAAAATCCAGAAATTCTGGTAGTCGAGTATTTCCTCTTCGTACTCAGAGCCAGCGGATTGCGTTCTTTAATTGCATACGACTTTCTAGCGCTATTTATAGTATAAATGTATATATGTTTTTCAGAAAACGATAGGAGGTTTTCAAGGGTGACATTCTGACACATTACAACAAGTTCTCAGGTAAACCGAATCGTTGTTACGACCTTAAGTACACAATTGCTAACAATTCAGATATTAAAACAAAGAAAATGGTACAAACATTTCTACAAACCCGTGTGTATTGTATGTCTGTTGTGCAAAGTTATTATAAAAGTCTTATAAAAATCAGTAAATTTGTAAAATGATGAAAAGTGCATTATTTTTAAAGCCTTGCCATTTCATGAATTTTTAAACCTATTGATTTAGGATACGTAGCAAAAAACAAAAAAAGTATTTTAAAGACATTGTTCAACTTTTAAGAGGGATACAAACAGGACCTAAGTACCTAATCTGCAAGGTCATAAGCATGGAAACCTAAGTAACACTGTTTCTAGACTGCGAATGTACAACGTTGGTGATTATGGTTGGTTAAGTCACGCAAACCACGAGTTATGATTCCGTGTTAAGCTATTTAATAAAGGTACAAGTACGGATTTAAACAGCATTAAATGATTATAATGTTGCCAACAATTTTAAAGTGAATAAATTAATTCATTTCATGTCAAGTGCTCATTTGATTGTTCGCCGTAAATTTACCCCATTTAGAGAACATGTTGAGAATTTCTTGTTACCCCTTCTTCGATAACCATTAAAGTGTGGAGACAATTTTACTGAATTTGCGCCACCCTTGGCTCCTTCTTCATAGCTTCGATAAATGTCCATTATTTGCTGTGGTTGTTTATGCGACTACATTCGTCTTCAACCTTTTTTTACTGCGTGCATGTCCTGGACAATTTTAACTGCTAAGGTACGTGAGATAATTAAAGATTTAGAATCACACTAAGCAAAACGAACTACACTAAAAATGCTAAACCCTCAATCTGACATCCCCCCATTGATTGGGTTCAACAACGATGTGTACTCAGTAGTTTGAAATTTTAAAAAAAATGCCTTTAATTAATATGAGAAGTTATTCAAGTTTTGCAACCATTGAATTCATTTTTATTAAATATCTCTAAATTGTGTTCCTGGAAGAATCTTTAATGTTTTTGGATTTTTTTCAATTGAGACAATGATGTACTGAAATTGAACAGTTAACCTTGTGCGTCTAACTTCGTAAAACATGGGTTCATACTTTTTGGTTAAGTAATCGCTTACTTTTTCTTTCCTAAAATAAGAGTTATCTCTATCCATAGTCGTATGGATAATTAACATAAATTTGGACCACCATCATTTAGTAGAATTCAATCAGTTATTTTTGATTTGGTTGTCATTAAAAGCGTAGTTGATGGTTAAATGACTTAAAATAATAGCAGAATTTTGAAATATGTTTTTGTGAGCAGAACTAAGACAGTAGTTTTTAAGTAAAGCACTTCGCCAGGCAAAGAACACAATTGCTCGCCTAGTTTTTGGACTGTTACATGTCAACTACATTGAAACTACATTCACGGTACTTTGATAATTAAATTGAAAAGCAAAAGATGTTATAAAACTTCCTATTTGCTAGGTATTACGATCCCATTATGGTATCAACGAACGTTGGACTCCATTTATAAATGTGCACATTTATGTCTTCATTGTCAGTGCAATGTTTGATAGAAACTGTCTTCGAAATTAAGGACAAATGATGCTGCATATAGCCTTTTCTATTAATTCGTGGATTTTTTTCAAGCATCCGAAAATTAATATGAGGAAATGAAAGGTAAATGCGTCACCAAATTGACTTATGTGTTCAGACCTTTCTTTTTGAGGTTCCTCGAGTTGTGGGTAAACGGAAAGCATGAAGAAAACTATTTTTGGAACTGATATGCAAAATACTTGGTGGAAAATAAAGATTACCACGAAATGAGCTGTGATTTTTTAGCGAATACGTAGAATATGTCAACAAACGAAACTAGAAAACTGCAGCACTATATGTAAATAACAACAGCTTAAAAGCTGCCTAGTAGACATTCAGGAATCGTAAAACAAATACAATCCGTAACGATAAATGCTTTTTGCAAGTTGTCCTAAACAATACTTATTACGACAAAATGCAGTGTTAACATCAAAGGTTAAACAAGAAATAGGGACACGTACTGCTAGTGGAGGAATTGGATCGTGTTCCAACGAGACCAGAATTGGAAACCGAAGGTTAAAACAGTGCTAACAGATGAACGTTACAGCATACTTGAATATTTTAAAGACCAGCAGATAAACAAACTGAGGATTTGAAATAATCTCCTTGCTAATTGGTGCCACCAGACATGTCGATGCCATATTTTAGTTGACCTAAGTCTAGCTATTAATCAGTTTAATTTAATATGGCCTGGCAATGTCTGTAGACTTTACGTATTTTACCAATAAGCTTGTCTGGTTTAATCTAAAACAGCTTGGGTAGAAGAATATGTTCTACATGGTGAGTAGGTATGCGTTCCATAAAGGGTAGGCATTAATTATAGCGGCGCACATAACACAAACGAAGTTGAAGCTCTTTCGGTAAACTAAAGCTTTCTTATGCTGCTTTTAAGTCAGCAGTACTGCCTTTCGGAAGCCAGCGCGTGCTGGCTCAGTTGATGTTTAATTGTGCCTCCCAATAACCGCTTTTGTTTAAGCATCCGGATGGCAATTAGTGAACTTAAGCAGCATTCATTACCCTCTCCAGGATCATTTTTGATTCATTCACCTTTTAAATGCATCCAGACCTAAACGAGAACTAAAATGGCCCAGGCTGTGGAACGAAAGTACAGTGATGTCCGCATCGGCCTCTCATTTTCGAACCCTTATCACCGTTTTTCTGCCCACTAGCCCATCTTGAAAATAAGCCATGCCTGATCCAAAAATCCTGCCCGAAATGAAAACCTATCCCAAAATGTCTTTTTTCCTTGATACATCCATTTGAAATGAGCATTTTATTGGTGTACTGAAGTACTGGCTTACATTAGAAATTTTATTTGTGTACACACGTGAGAAGTGCAGATTGCTTAACGCAGACCCGATGTTGTCAGTTTCTATGAATTGGAAAAGTACTTTCGTTTGTGTCACTATTTTCCACATCACAAAATCCATCCAAATTCAGATTTGGAAATCTGGCCAGACATCAACAAATACAAATTCACTGGCATGTTCTCAAAAATTTGCACCAAGGACACTATGAACATGGTTTTTGTGGGACTAATTTTCAAACTCAACGTTTCTAATTTGCCACATAGAGTAAAATATTATGCATTCATATCCCTATTACTTTCTGCTTTTTGATTACCTAACTCTTTGTATTGACTTAAAATATGGACCTTTCATCTGACAGGCCAAACGTCCTCGAGATAAGAACTATCGTCTAACACGATGCAGCGCAAAGATTCTTAGGTATTTTTTGCAAAATATTTTCCCTTTACGACTCCTTCATGAGATTGCGCTAGTTGTGTTTGCGGGGTCAAATACGTCGGGCATTTAGTGCGGCAACATGAAAAGACCAGGCTTCGTTGTGCACCTGGCAGGTTAAATTTAGCAACATGGGGAACGGGGGCCTGCGGATGATTTCCTTCTACACTGCGATGGTTCGAACTACTGTTTACATGGCCCATTGGCAATTCAAGCCCGCCTTTACTCAGCCACATTTTGGGCCTAGTGAAAAAAAGTAATGCGTCGGCGTGACGTTGCTGTGCCTGTGGACAACGTTACAACTCAAAAGTGCAAAGTGAGTGATTGAAGAGTACTGAGAATTCAGTGTCAACTTTTATTTTTGAAAGTGCTCGAACAAATCGTCTCCATTCGAGTGAGGCCCAGATGAGCTGTGTGGGATACGCTTCCTCAGAACTACTGTGTCATTAATTATGGACTTCTCTGTAAGTTTCTCTGTTTCGGTATATTTTGGGAGGAAAACCTTCCTTGAATGATTCCGACGAAAGCGTTCGCATGGTTCCGAATTCAATGAAGTTTTCCTACTAAAAAAAGAGAAGTTTGAGGGCCTAATTAGTTTAGATATTTGTATTCGTAAATAAAAGAGGCTTTAACGAAGCCATTTTGACAGCTTTTAGGTCAGTTACTTGGTCGAGTTGCTGTCACAGACTAACATATGGACTTAAATCCTAATTTGGCTCTGCTTGGAAACTTGGCAACAAAATGACAATTTGTTGAGTTGGATTAGAATTGTATGTTGGCGTGTAACCTCTCAAGAAGTGCGTCATTTTAAGTGGAGAAGGGCTTCATTTCTAGACATTTTTAAGCTGGAAAGCTATCCGGGTGGATGAACTTGTAGATAAGAAACAAAAGTTTTGGCTGGCTCTTTAAAAAAAGATTGTTTAGGGCTTGAAAAGCCACGCCTAGTTTAATGGCATCACCGTATGGTCTATTCTCACCTTCTTTCGAACCCCTCACACATTCTCCGGCATTTAACTGCTGCAATGGATGCGGAATCTTGGAACTTTCCTCGCCCATCGAGGACGGAGAGACTGAGCAGCGTTTTCCACACCGTGAGAGCGTAACCAGCCTTGCTTGTCATTGGGTTTTCACGAAAATCGACAACTTCCAGGCGGTGTATTTGCCTAAGTTCATCAAGTGATTCCTTTAAAAAAACAATACCGACATAAAAGCAACTAAATTTCGCACTCTTGGAGATTCTTTGCAGATAAGATTAATTGTTTGTAGCACCGTTTACTACACTGGGGTTTTCGGTATTGCAAAAAATTAAAGGAGTAAGGATGTGAGTTTACAACTTATATGGAGACAGTAAAATGTTTTATAAGAATTTGCAGCTATACGGATTGTTCAAGACTGGTCAATTGGGACAGACGATTCAATGGTTAAATCAGTGTACTATGGATCTAGGGACAGGGTTTTGACTAATGTCATATTTTAAACAACAGAGCGAATTTTCACGCTCGAGTTTTTCTTGCTGGTTTTCTTACTGATCAAATCTAGGCACTTGAGTCATCCGCAAATTCAATTGTACAGGTCCAATTCCGAAAGTTTTTTATCCCCAATGTTACGAATTCACCATTCCAATGGTAATTCGGTGAGGCATCGTTTACGTTAAGGCCAATTTATAATTACTTTAACATTCTCGATATTATTTCTCGTAGCTGTGAGCACCCTCAAGCAGTGCAGAGACCTCAACTCCCCTTGGATCGACGTCAAGTAATTTCCATCAATTTTTAATTCAGTGATACAGCTGCACCGTAGAAGGCCTCCATTGAGGCTTTTTAGTTTGTTTTCGCGGAGCCAAAGTGTTCGCAGACAAGGGAGAGCTCCCAACACCCCAGGGGGCAAATAGCGCAAACCGGCATGGTCGAGGTGCAGGTCTAACAACTGGTAGAGGGGACCGCTGCTCAGTGGGTGGGCAAGCCGCCATTTGCGGTGCCAGGAGTCTATCTGATGGGCGATTGTTCGTCTGGCTGCATGGCTGTGTTCAACGTCGTCTTCTTTCATTTGTGAATGCGTATCCACATGTTTGTTTGTCCTCGTGTCACCAAGGGCAACGAAATGCGTGATGTGGGGCCTTTGTTTTGTTCAAACAAAATTATGACGAAGAGGTCGTGGAGGTGCGTGTGGTAAGATTTTCAGTGTCTCTACCATGGTTGATGTTGCGGCTCCTGCGAACCAAAATGTAACCAACTTAACGAGCCCTACGTCCATAAACACGTGGCCGGAAATGCAAACAAGAAAACCACCAAGTGAATTAACACAATGGTAAATTGAAGCCTACTAATATACAAGCTTTGTGGCTTTAATAAAACAGAAATAAAGACCAAAAAGGCCATAATTGGTTTTCCTAAATGACACTGAAATATCAAACTTGTAAATATATGAGTTAAAACTCGAGCTTTATAAGTCTAGTTCACAGGTCAATCACAAGACCGTTTTTAGTAAACTCAAGCAATGTTGGTGGTGAAGATGGTTTTTCTGGTAAGCAGCTTTCTAATTTTTTACTCTTTTCTGCTGCCCAACCAGGTCTTAATTTGTTCCGCAAGCAACTTCTACTCTGTGCTTTTGTGAGCTGCGCATTAGCGAAAATGTGAGGAAACCCTGTGGCTTTCAGGACGCCTTTGGTATTTACTGATGCAGACAACGTTTTCAACAGTAACCGACGTAGAAGGCACTCCCACTTGTGGTGGACGCAGCGGAGCCCTGCAAAACCTGCCCCAACCAGCCAGCCAATAAGTCAAACAAACACTCGAACAACTGCCCAAGCGCTGTTCGTGTTACCGACACCCACAAGAGCCCCTAATTAGACTTCTAGCTAGTATCCAAAGCGACAACTGCTATGGTGTCACCTCTTTGTCAGCCCGTTTTCGTTAATCATAGTTTCCAACAAATGTAGTTTATAGAACTGCCACGAAACTGTGCCACCATAACCTGCACTGACGCAGCCAACTGCTTCCTCTGTCCCCCAGGAATACTACATAACCCCCAGGACAGCATCGGCAGGCATCGAGTCCGACTACAACACCGGTGTGGGCTTTACCGCAAACAAATGATTGAAACCAGTCACACTGCAGAAACTCAGGAGTACAGGCCTTATCAGGACAAGTGTAAATAATTCAACTATATGTGGCTTTTGGTTGATATTCTATTTCCGAATTCCCGTACCATCCAAGGACTCCACCCTGTGAACGATAAGCCTATTGGGCATCAGATTATGGCTAGTGTGGAATATGCTTTCTCGGAACACAGACTACCGAGAGCATTATGACGAATGCAGGCGCATAATCCTCAAAGAATTGAAGACATTCGAATACATGACTTCCATAAAAAAATTATTCAAAAGCTATCAAAACAGTTTAAATCTTGTCCAACGCAATGCAGAAGGCAACTTCATTCCAAGTCGGTTTAAATTGGTCACAAAAAAGCTGGGCAGTGGCGCGGCGAAATGACGTGCCTGCCGGGGGCTTTCGCGGTTGATGAAGCTAAAGAACCCAGGAGGTGGGTCGCTGGTTGAGGGGCTTTTCAAAGTGTCCGGTGCTCCCGTAAGGCCGAATTGTATTCTGTGGGCGTGAAGATGGAGCCCAATGTAGCGCGCCTTCGACTGGCGAATCTCGAGGGCTGCGAGGGTGCGCTTAGGGAGTCGCTGGGGTGCCAAATGACCGAAATGGGAGTACTTGTGATCCCCCAGAATCGGAGTCCCCAGTGCTGTGCTCAGGTGGACGCGCACTTGGTGCTTCACGCCTGGTGATCAGAGTAAAAAACAAACGAAAATAAGAGCATTGAGTTATAGCACGACGCATAATTGGATGTCCCTCCCCAGCCTACTGGGTAATCCAAAAAGAACGCAACCTACGTGGCAGTGGGTATGCACAAATAAGGTTTGAAGCCCTAACTGAAATGCCGTGGCCTGCGGTACAATGAAAATCTACAGCGACCTAACCAAAATGCGAACCCGAATCGACCAAATGAAAGCTGTGGCAACAACCTCCCTGCTCTCCGATGGACTCCGTTCAAGGACAACCTGGGGCACACACAATACTTGAGATTTCAGGCAAAGTTGTGGACCTCTTCCTCAAAATCCTACGAAAGACTAGTTATGAAGCAAATGTTTGCAAAATGCGTGCATTCATTTGTACGAGTAACAAGAGCTCAAATGTAAACCCACCCGTTGTCGCACAGCACTCCACCAGAGCAGTGTCGTTTCTCCTACCAAGAACAGAGTAGTGTGTTAGAGCGTTGGTTTTCTCCTGCGAAACTTTCGGTTCTTCTGTATCCTCTAAAACTTCCCTCTCTCGTGTTGAGTTTGAGCGGTGGTGTTTAGCGAACATCTAGGGAAATTAATGCGATTAAGCTGTTTTCGTATCGACGTGGAAGTTAAATGGAGACTCACCCGATAAATGCCACGAACACGCCTTTCATACAATGGCAGATAAATTGTTCCTTCCCTTTCCTTGGGAATACCAGAGGTGATGCACAGATAAGACTTTCTGATCCAACGATTAGCGAAAGCCTCTGTCAATTTTAGGTGAGTATCTCGGTTTCTACGGAAACAGCAAATTTGAGTAATCAGCTGTTTGTGAAATAATCCGAAAGGAAGTAGCTTGCGCACCTTGAGATGAGAAGAATGCCCGTAGCCTCCTTATCAAGCCGGTGGCTTAGTTGAAGAGTCCCTGTCTCGTCAGCGAAATCCCGACGAAGTTTAAATGCTAATCTCGGAAGGAGACTGTCCACGCTGAAACTCTGTCCGGCGCCGCCTATAAAAATAGAGAATACGATTAACCACCAGAAAACGACATAGAAAACCCCCTCTAGAATGTCTTGGCAACAAAAGGCCACGTTCCTACCAGCGCAATGAGCAGACCAAGGTGGAATTCCAAACAGACATCACTAAAGACAAAGATTTTGACTAACTATGTTTCAAGAAAAGGACTTGTCTAAAAAAATTACAACCAGTTCCACCTGAGAAAAGAAAACACAGTACTCAGGGCATGTTGTCTGTTGCCACGCAAGGAAATAAATTTGGTAACAAGTCTGAAAAACACAATAGGAGTCAGGGAGTTGAAATGTAAACGGCGATCAATTTAGAATTAACTGTAGCGACGTGCAAGAGAGAGTTGCACTTAACTCAGCACAAATAAACCCCCCCCCCTCTAAGGCGCTTTGGGCACGACACAATTACAATTTTCAACAAAAGAGGTAAACTTCGTTAAGAAACAGTAAAGACCACAGGAAATCGAAATACCGGACTCAAACACAAAGTATGGTGGGGAGGAATCGTGGCGAGAGACGGCGAAATGCAATCTTACGTAGGAAGTGAGGAACGATTTCTTGAAATTTTGGCGTACCAACTTTTAAGAATTTGCTACACGACCGACAGCCTTACATGGGCCGTTGCAGGGTGGCTGGAGAGGCCCATAGATACGGACATAAACAGCTGTGGGTGTACGAAGATTGAAGTAAAGTTGATTTTGGTAGGGTTAACAATGTGGTAATGGGTGGCAGGATATCCGGTATGACACGGAGTTCAACAACTTCAAAAAGCAGACACAAAGTCGCTATGTAAACAAATCTTGCTAAGTAGGCTTGACCTTCTCTTTCACTGTGCTGTAGGCAGCCAAGGTAATTCGTCTCCTCAGCCAGTGTACAAGGTTCTCGCAATTACAAGGGCCTCTAACCGCCTAGGCAGCAGACGTATATCGATCGATAGGGTCAGATATGACGCGCATGGCGAAACCAAATAGCGACGCTCAAGATTCAACAAACGCCAGCGCAACTGTTTCGGTCACACAATAATCAAAGGGTACAATTATCGACCGATGGACTAGAGAATCGTGATTGAGCTGAATGATCACGTAGGGGTCACTAGTTGTAAGTGCCACTTTTTGAGACCCGAAGCACTTCGCAAATCCCCCGGGAAGGGTTAGAAGACCAGTGGCGACGGAGACAAGATCGCTTACTGGCTGGCTCAGCCTATTTCCGCTGCTGTGACCGTGTGTATACAAAGTCACGTATGTAAAAGCGAATGCTCGAGATGGTGGAAAATGCCCAACGGCGACCGCGTGCACGTTAACGAGAAACGCGTTCGGGAGCGAAATAGTGTCCAGCAATACACTTTACCCTATTGACACTGACAAGTTCAAGTTACAGGCGGATGCCTTTACGAAAGTACAAATGTCCGAACGAATAGTAAAGTGCTAGGGTGTGGAAATTAAGGAAACGCAGTAGTTTGCACAAAAATATGTTGTGCTACATCGAAAATAATTGGAGTTTGCGAGACGAAGATGACAATGACTCAACAGCGCTCGAAGAACGTCGGTTTTTTGGACGAGCCTTGCTACTCCCGTTGTGGAGAATATTTGCGTCATGCGATATTAGATTTTTATGGATCAAACCAGACAGCAGTTTCTTAATAACTGAACACCGTCCTCAAAAGCGCTACACTGCGATTTTGAGAACGTGATTAACGACAAGAAGAACTAGTAAAAAAAGAAGCAGAGATGATAATGTGTGGCCAGGGAACTCGGTACTTCACATCTGCATGGTAAATCAAAGGCGTGGCCCCTAATGGTATCACTAACGCACACAAGCAGTGGCAATGTGCACTTGATAGTTATGTCAAAAATACGGTACGTTTACAGCAAAAAAGAACAATTTTTAAGCGAGGAATGAGCAAGAGTAACATCTAGTGGCGCTCTGTTCTTACCTTGACAAGAAATTCCAGGCGGCTTGTTTAGAACTAGAAGATTGTCTGAAAGATATGAGACAAAAAAACACTTATTGTACATTAATTAAAAATCTCCAAATACATTGAAGTGTGAAATTTTGAAACAGAATTAAGAGAGCTTTGCTGAGAGAAGGATGTACAACATAGTCACATCACAGATTCGATTGGCAACCAATTTCTGATGCGGTGACTAACACAGGCCGGAATTGGGTTTCCGAGGTTTACATATGGCTTAGGTCACTAATCAAGGATGCCATCGGCGAAATAATGGTTTAGGAGCGGACAAGTATACTTGCATTCTGAATTGGTTTGAAGTAATGTACACGATCGCTTTCGATGTTATCTTCCATGACAAATTTTCTTGATTTCTGTGAAAACACTGTACGTAACCAAATAGTTATGATACCCACTTCTGGGGCAATATAGAAATAACACGATTAGCTGACCTAAACTTGGTCCAGCACAGAAAAGATATCATAGTAACACATCGGGAAATTTTCACCAAGAAATGATCAACAAATCAGACCCAACTCAATTAGCCCTCTATCAAAGCACATTGGGTTTGCCACAAGAGTTTTTAGGTATAAAATTTAGGGAAGTAAATTGAATAGACACATTACCCTGCACAGAGATAAGGCATTTGTACAACACTTCTACTGCCTCGTCTTCCGTAAGAAGATAGAACTTGATTGGATCGTCATCGGGTATGCGAAAGCCTTCCGAATCAAATCGTGGCCTCAGGGGACGGTTCTTTTGGTTCTTGAAATTAAGTGCTTAAAAAAACAACCATTACTCAAACAAGTAGCACTGCATGGTCACACCGTAACTATCACATAAGCTACGAAGATCCTGCTAGTAATTAGCGATGATTTCGGCGTTTAGGCAGTCACATTTCCAATACGCAAACCTTAATCGTGTTTTTACAATCGCTTGCAACGACTGAACACTGTAATACGTGGAGAAAGCGAACACATTACGCCAAAAGACAGTAATCAGGTCGACACTATGCTTGTTTTGCCCCAAATAACCACATTTTCAAGTGCAATGCTTTATTACCTAGGCCACAATCTTTGCACTAAACATGGTAATTAAGAAATAGTACCGTTGATCTTTGAGATTTGATTATAGTCTTCCTATTCGAGAATTTCACATAATTTAATTTACCAACATCCTTAAAACATAGAAGAAGTTGTAACAATTTGAAAGTGGAGCAAGAGCTCCTTGAAAGAACTTCAGTCCACACTGCATAGTTAGCGCTTTGGAATACACAATGACACAGTAGCAGTTGGCATCAGATATGTAAGAAGTAGTTTTAATAGTTGCATAACGTTAAGCACTCGTTTTAGGACTTGAAATGCGACCAGTCATTCTTCACTAAGTGTATAAGGGAGGAATAGGAACTTACTTCCACCACTATACAAGTTTATGGACAGTTGATCACGCACACCAGTAATGCAGTCAGCGACGCTTTCGGTTTCTTCTTCAACGAGATCAGACCCGGGAGTCTCGCGATCCTCTGGCCTCTGGAAGTAGGTTTGATCGATGTAACTATTTTCCTCCATATCAACCGTTACAAGAGGTTGACGCAAACCTTCTTTGGTTATTCTTTTAGATGTTTTCGGAAGTGATTCTAGGATAAAGCATATGTTAAGCACAACAAAGACCAAAATAGATGGTCACTATAATCTTCATAAAGGCATTAAAGGTAAACATGACATTTACACGGAGCAAAATAAAATATTTCATGCCAAATTAGTACTTGTTCATTGATTTCAAAACGAGAAAAAGGAATTTAAAACTCAAACTAGAAAGCCAAGATGCTAAAAATAGAACTTAAAATAAAATGGCCTTACCGAAAAACAGGCTATCGATGTATGACATTGTAATCCGCTGAAAAACTCCGTTTCTTTTCTAAACACAAGCAAACAAGTACTTGAATAGACTAAAATTTAGTGGAACGGAGTTGGAAATCAGTTGCCAACAATAAAACACCAAATGCGAAACAGTACATTATTTCACGTCGCATATATTACTTACTGCTGTTTTGCTCAACATCTATACGAGATCGCTGACAGTAGGAATAGGACATAAACATAATTGAATGAGCGGGCTAGATGGTCCTGAGGTGTGTTAATTAAAATTAAACCCACCGAGAGAGAGAAGCACCGATTTTAAGTGAGAGCCAGAACAGCTAACCAGATTCTGCATAAGGAAATGTTTAGTCTAGGCTATTCGATGGGAGGCTACTAGAAAGGCATTACGACACTATACTAAATAAAGTCACGGAGAAAATTTCATGAGATAATGCTAGATCTTGTTAAAAGGTTAATTCTGTAGAGGAGAGAAACCCACCCCAGAATATGGAGATTTCTAGAAATAATGACGTTTTAACAGCGTCGGTAGTTAAACTGCCTGATGTGCTGGCACAAGAATCAAGTCTGCGACAGAGAAAGATGGGATGAATGATGAATTGTAAATGCACTATATATTCACAACGTTCAAGCGGTTGAGGACACGGACTTGAGATTATTTAACGAGTGTGAACAACTAATATAAACGATTGCGAAAAAATCACTAAGTACTCATAACAAATGTCTATTTAAATTATGCATCAAGCTAATTAGAAACACCACTTGAAGTGTTGTGTGGAACTGTGGTGTGGTACGGTGTGGTGTGGCGTCGGATTAGGGCGCAGACATATTGGACCACCTGGCCTCAGCCAATCCTGTGTCTCTCTGCGATCCAATGGCATGCGGGAAAGGAAGGCAGCCAACCAGAGAAGGACACGACTGAGGAGCAGA